TCCAACTCAAAAAAAAAAAAAAAAGATTTGTATATTTTACTTGTATTACAATATACTTCAGTAAAAAAATGAAATGGAAAAAATTCTGAAAAGTGAGAGGAAGTAGAGGAAATAAGGGTATCTCATACATTACTGGTGGGAAAGTAAACTGGTCCAGCCTCTATGATTGATATTTGGCAGTATCTACCAATATTACAATACAACTACCTTTTTGATTCAATACATTCATTTCTAGAAATTCATCTTCACAAATACTTGCTCATGTGTAAAATATTGTACATACAAGGGCAATAATGGAAACTTTTATTAGTAAAAGGTTGGTAAGAACTTAGAGATCCATCAATGAGAAATTTGTCTTGAAAAAAAAATACACTGTGGCATCCTTAAGTTTCTTTTTTTTTGAGTTGGAGTCTCTCTGTCACCCAGACTGGAGTGCAGTGGCCGCTCCCGGCCACCGCAGTCTCAACCTGTTGGGCTCCGGCAATCCTTCCGCCTCAGCCTTCCAAGTAGCCGGAATTACAGGCATGCGCTACCACGCCCGGCTGATTTTTTGATTTATTGTAGAGATGAGGTCTCGCTGCCCAGCCAGGTCTTGAACCCGCGGGCTCAGGCAATCCACTCACCTCAGCCTCCCAAAGGCGCGGGATTACAGGCTGAGCCACTGAGCCCGGCCCTTAAGTTTCTTTTACATCCTTTTTTTTAAAGAGACAGGGTCTCACTCTGTTGTCCAGGCTGTAACTTAGTGGCAATATCATAGCTCACTGTAACCTCAAATTCTTGGCCTCAAGCGATCTTGCCTTGGCCTTCCAAAGTACTTGGATTAGAGGTGTGAGTCACTATGCCGGATCAAAACCTTAAAGAATGAAGTCTCTTACATATTAATATGGGACAATCTCTAAGTATATTATTTGGTTAACAAAACAAGGAGATAAATAGTGTCAAAAAAGGAGGAAGAAAAGGCTAGATTATCCATGTGCTGTACAGACACAAATAAAATGGACTACCTCTGGGAAGGAGGCAACCCTTCCCGGGGTTGAAAGACAAAAATCAAAAGGTCTTGTTCACTATATATCTTTTGAAAACCATGTGAATATGGGGTAATACTTATTTTAAGATATATGTATATTTTAAATTTTGAGTAAAAAAGTCACAAAAGATTTCAGAATTGAGAGCATAGAAACTTTAGGATTTTGATTTATGCTCCTTATTATCTATAAGTATATTCAGTTAAAATGAACACTAAGAATGCAAGCAATTTTAATTTTTTTTTTTTTTTTTTTTTTTTGTAAAAATGAGGTCTTACTATGTTGCCCAGGCTGATCTCAAATTCCTGGACTCTCACCTCTGCCTCCTAAAATGCTGGGAGTATAGGCTTGAGCCATCATACTCAGCCTGGGAATGCAAGCAATTTTAAGGAACTTACCCATACTGTGTTGTTGTCAATACTTCTCCTCTCTTTTCCTTTTCAAGTTTTAACTTTTTCTTCCTTTCAATATTTGCCAGAGTAGGATAGTTTCTAGAAAATAAAAGTTAATTATAAAAGGGCTTTTACAGTACAACTTTAAATAACCAATCAAGCAACTGTCGAATTTAGCAATTTTTGCTTAACAACAGAGTAAATAATTAAAACCTTTAATTGCTTCTAGAATTTTTTTAGAGGGAAAAAAAAAAAGTAGTCCATAACAATGCGACTCAAAGTATACACCGGCTGCTAGCCCACAAACCATGCTAGCAGTTTTGCAACTAGATAAGGAGCTTATACCAGAATTTAAATCAAATACTCGTGTATCATGATGTGCTCAAACTGATCTAATTCATCTATTTGGCATGTACCCATAAATACTGGAGGAAAAAAGCTTAAGTCTATTCATCTTCTTATGCAAATGCATGCTAGGTACATCAGAGTTACCAAGATAAGAAACAGATAGTTCTCAAAAAACATACAGTCTATCAGGAAAGATAAGAAACGCACACAAATAGCCATAACATAATACAAAATATGATATGGCAAGTAAGTACCCCAAAGAGTACAAAGATTTGGGAAGTATGAGGGAAAGATTATATATAACTGGAGAAATCCAGAAAGAAAAAGACATGAAAGAAACTGGTCTTAAATGATGTTAATGGAAATCATACGGAATAGTTTCAGAGTGTTAAACAAAGCAAACAATGTAAACAAATCAAGGTCTCAGAAAGTATAAGAGATATCAAGGGAATGGCAAGTGGTTAGTTTTGCATGAAACATAATATAGTTCTAGGGGTCCAGACTGGAAAAGGAGGCTTAGGCCAAAATGTGCCTTGAATATCAGACTTTCTAGTCTGATATTCATTTAATTCAGCAGGTGATAGGGAGCTATAGAAAGTTATGAACAGGGAGTGATACGACAAGGCAGTGATCAACATTAAATCTGACAGCAGTGTGCCAGATGCAGACACCAAACTCTGAGACTGAGGGGGATTGATCCTAGGAGTACAAAAAACACGGAAGGAGGGGAACACAGACAGCTCTCTATCATTCAACCTGGCTGCTCATCAGAATAAACTTTGAGAAACATCAATAAATTGTGTTCTGCCATTGTTTCTAAAACATTCTTCCACCTTCTTTTTTTTTTTTAACATCTGCATTACTGACTTGAATAGCACAGACAATATAAAACCCATGGATTGGCCATACTGAAAGACAGGAATGGAAATGACATTGAATAAGTGGTGAAGTAATCAGAAAAAAACGCAATGAATTTCAATGAGGACATTGCAAAGCAATATATTCAGCCAAGAAAAACACAGTCCATAAATAAAAGATGATGGATACACAAGCTATAAATAAACATAAGAAAAAAAGATCAAGGTCAAAGGAGATAAAAATCTGACAGCCAGTCAGCAACATATGATTACATCTTTAGCAAGCAAACATGATCTCAGGTTATATGGCACTTGTATACACACTCTGGCATGTGTGAAATCTTCCTCCCAGGACACTCAAAAGTGGTCAGATACTCTCAGGGGACTGTGTCACGTTTTGTACTTTTAAACTAAAGGAACATTGAGGGAAAATAAAACTTGGAAGAGATTCAGAAGAGGCTCAAAGATGATTAATAGGATGAAAAACAAAACATCCAAAGAAAGATGAAAGGAACTATTTGCAGCCTTTAAGAGGATGAGAAGTGATCATAAAATAATCTTACAGTGAGGATGGCAGCCAGTTGTTCTCAATCTGAAAACAGAATATGCAAAAGCAGAAATGACGAGAAAGCAATGATGACTTTCATAGGCCTTACAATGGATAGACATGTAACTCACAGCTAGTAAACACACTCTACAACTCTAAAGTTTACTTATTCTTACTACTTGTTGTTTCTTAAACATTTTTGCCCTGAGTATTGCAGACTCTTAACATGTTAGGCCATATGTTAAACACTAAAATTTGGTACTACAGTATACCACATTAGTTAGTGTACCAGATGCTAAGTAAGTATTAATAGTTTTCAATGCAAAGAATTTAGACAATGGATAGACATGTAACTCACAGCTAGTAAACACACTCTACAACTCTAAAGTTTACTTATTCTTACTACTTGTTGTTTCTTAAACATTTTTGCCCTGAGTATTGCAGACTCTTAACATGTTAGGCCATATGTTAAACACTAAAATTTGGTACTACAGTATACCACATTAGTTAGTGTACCAGATGCTAAGTAAGTATTAATAGTTTTCAATGCAAATAATTTAGACATTTGTTATAGCAAGCAAATTGTAGGTAACATACAAGATATAAGAGAGAATATGCTACATGAGACAGCAAAGACGTGTGGAAACCCTTTTGATGGAAGCCTTTTAAATCAGCTAACTTTCTCTTTCTGGCAGACTGCAGTACCGTGTTCCTAAAGGTAAGGAACCTCTCAATATTCCTTCCAAAGTTATATGCTTCTAGTTTTTGGCACTGAAATTCGTAAAATCCCCTTCCAAAATGTATTCTATTCTTATGGAACCCCAAAACTAAAAAATCCAGAAACACAAGACCTATTTAAACACATACAAACAACAGCAGGAAGCGCGCTCCACCTATATAAAGCTGAGATACAAGAATCAGGAAAAGTAAAGAGCTCTGATGCTGGATTTCAGGTTCCTGAAACACACAAAAAATAACAAACCCAAAGACTACTGAAAAAACAAGCATATACTATGTCTCACATTGCAGTTACATAGAGATAAAACTTAATCCAACACCTCCTGTTAGAGAATGCATAATATGAAATTATAGACCGTGACAAGGGATATCCTCATAGTTGGTTTCTCTGTATTTATTTCTGCTAAAAATAACTTTTCTCCCTGTACTTCCATCTCCCACCAATTCTCCAAGAGGAAGGTCTGAAATCATAGGCTGTTTCTTTCTGTCTTCTCCCTCTTTCACTTCTTACCTCTTCTCCATCACCCCCTTTTGCCTTAGCAGTGACCATCCTTAAGCACTACCGAGCCAACAGATGGGTAACTACACCATCATTTTAGCACAGATCATTCTAGTCACTTGACTCTCTTCAACTTTTTCCTTACTCTCAAATCACTACCCATTTACTGACTTTTCCTTTATGCCTCTTCCCCATCAAATGCAATCCCTCTTTACTCTCACTGAACCACAACTGCTTCGATACAAGGGATACTACTAGATTTCTATTTCTTTCTGAACTTCTAAGTGATGCAGCATTCTTTAGGAGCAGACCTCCTATGTTGGAAGTCTGAATGAACTGGGGATCGAAATTAAAAGATGTCCTCATAGCCACAGTAAGCATTGAAACAAACATTACAAAACTACTCCACCTAGTGGACTCTCCATCTGCTGTGGAAAATGTTCCACTGTTTCTAAAAGCAAGGTTTGGTAAATAAACTTCTTCCACTCATTGTTCCTAATGCCAAAGTATCCAGCATTGGTACCTCATAGGTCAGGAACTAAGAATCACTGTTTTGGGCACTTTATGGGGGGAATGGGGGTGAGGGGAGAGGCAGGTTATTAGTGGAAAGCCTTAAAGTTTTAAATTATGCACAGTAGGTACCTCTGAGTTTGGCTAGCCTGAAACAAAGATGAAGGAATAAAGACAAAGATGTACATTGTTTAAAATAAAGGAGCAACATGCTAAGCAAATCTTTAGTTTCCTTTAAGTTTTAAAAGTCTTACTCTGTGAAACCTCTCACAATGATTTCTAACAGCAATTAAACAAAGACAATTTTTCCTGCATCTCAAATACAGTGACTCTCTCAGAAAGAATGTAGCTATAACAAGAAAAAGAAAATTTTAAAAATAAGGACTATTCAGCCATACCAACCTGGAATTTACTCTTTTTTAAGAGTTCCAAGTATAGATTTTTTAAAATTAAGAATGCTAGAAACATAGAACATAAATATATTTTCATAATACTTCTTTAAAAACTGCTACTGAGGACAGTATCAGTATATTTTTGAGAAATCTATCAAATGTACCAAAAGAAGAATATTTCCCATGTTTTCTATTAGTAATACATACATACAGAAAAAAATACATGAACACTTCAGAATACGCTCAAGAGCAAGGACTTGAGAAACACAATAGGGAAGAACCCCAGATCAATTCAGCAAGTGTCAAAAGATCATTTCAGAGCACTTATTAAACAAGGCAACATCACAGTTACAAAGAAACTACGCCCAGAAGTGTCATCCTCACCCAACTGCCTTCATCTCTTGGAAGACATCTAAATGTCACCAGTCTGGACCTCATTTAGTCCCTCAATGGGTATTGCCCCTTCCTCTTCGGACTGGTCATAGCATGCCCTTAGCTTCTGCTCTAGGGCTAGATTCCATTCTCTTCCCCCACCTGTCTGACACAAAAAGAATCACCAAGAAACATATTAAACACTTGCTCAAGTCAATCCTGTATTCAGAAGGATAGAGCTGTTTCCAAATTCTACTTGTAGTTTTGAAATTTGACAAGCTTCAAACTGTGCCACCAAGCACCAAGGCAAACACTACTAACTGCCTGTTCTCCCCACTTCCTAAACAATCTTGTCTGGGAGCATTCTACCAACTCTGCTGCCATTTAATGTAGTCAAGCAATCCCCTTCTAACCAATGAGATCTATATGGAAATCTGGTTGGAGCTAAAAACTTAACCTCTGTTTCCTAATGAAAAGGGGAAAACTAGGCCACATTTACCTTTCACCTTTTTCTCTTCTTCCTGCCTATATCTGGAGTTAATATTTGCAGGAACCTTCGGGCAAGATGAAAACCACCTACTAAGGAGCAATAAGACACAGGCTGTGCCTGATGGTATTGTCAAGCAGTAACAGCAGGACTGGATTTTTTTTTTTTTTTTTTTTAGTTCGAGTCTGTCACCCAGGTTGAAATGCAATGGCACACTCATCACTACCGCAGCCTCGACCCACTGGGCTCAGGTGATCCTTCCACCTCAGGTCTTCCAAACAGCTGAAACTACAGGTGTGCACCACCACGCCCAGCTAATTTTTTTTATTTACTGTAGAGATGAGTTCTT